TAAATTTAGCGTTTTTATTTCCAACATGCGCTCATTCATGGCTGTATTATTTAATTAATGCAAAGTTACGTCTTTATTGGGAGAGGACTTGACGGATTATTTTAGCCTACGTGACTCCGACTTCATGAGTCGATAAACATATAGACAACAGAGAGTGAATTAAATTCAGCACTTTTATTTCCAACATGCACCCATTCGTGGCTGCATATTATTTAATTCACGCAAAGTTACGTCTTTATTGGGACAGGACTTGACGGATTATTTTGCGTGACTCCGTGAGTTCGTCTCTATTTCTTCGAGCCAAGCTGCATAAACTGCATATCAGGCATTTATGTAATACATCTAATTTGTGCATTGATGGCTGTTATGTTAAATAAAGTTTACTAACTACAGTAAATCAAGTACCTGTGCAGGCCGTTGTTGTTGTCTTGTTTCCCCTCAGACGCGCTGCAATGGTGATCCTGCGCGCAATTCTCAAAATATCCACAAGATGGCGGCGTTTATCGGTAAATCCGATATTACAAAACCGATATCCGATTATTGTAAAATGCTTAAATATGGAAAAAATATCGGTAAATCGATATATCGGTCGATCTCTAATCTATATACAGCAAATATACAGATTTACACCATACAAAAATATGTATAAGGCATAAAGAATAAATATTCTTATGCGGATATCGAAATGAATGCATTCAGTTTAAATAAATAAGTATGGGTACTTCATGTAAAATACATTAATTTTCTTTACAGAAAAATTTATTTTCTTTTTCTTTTTTTCCGCTTCTTCTTTTTTGGTGAGTTTAGGGAGTTTACAAATCAAAAACAGTGTACCTGAATTGAATACCACCACTAACAATAAATAAATACTAAGATATTTTAAAATATAGAATGATAAAAATCAGTTGTATAATATGTATGTGTGTGAGAGAGAGATCAGTGGTTGAGCACTTCAGATCCCCCGTTATTTGTGTGTGAGAGACAGATCAGTGGTTGAGTTCCTCGGGACACTCGGCATCTGCTGGCAGGTCACTTGATCCAGGAATCTTCTTTCCGTTCCAGGATGACACACACCAACACTTCCCCCTCTGACCATCCAGAGACGATTCACACTGCAAGGAGGACAAGAAAAAGAGAGTGAGCGTGATTATTTTCCATTTTTAGTTTTCAGTTACCTACATAGGCTACAGGTTTTAACTTGTTTTTTAAACGTCTCGTTAATGATAAACACTGATAAATTGGTCAGAGAGCAAATTTTCGCGAAAAAATCCCTAAATGAACACAAGTCGCGTTCGCCAAGGGACGTAACCATAACAACGGAACGTCGCTCACGCGCTTTCCATTGAGATTCGTTTCAACCGGTAAATCGATACAGTGTGACAAGTCTTATCATTTCAGTCTATAATTTTCTTTATAGATTTGATTTACATACCACAAAAGTTATGTGTGTGTGTGTGTTGTTTTTAAAAACATTTTGGAGAAAAGTTTTTTTCTCCAAAATACATGCTACTAATTGACGTTGGCATCAATTTGCATTTTTGCTATACGAACCTCGACAGATTGCGCACTTTTACATTCACATTTAATAGCTAATAAAACAGATATTTAAAAAAAAAATTGTAAAAACTGAAATTCCGTTTCAGTAGTCGATCATTCGCCATTTGTTTATTATAATATTTAATGCATATCTAAACATCTACAATATCCAAGTGTTATCAAATATTATCAATATCAAAATTGGTTAACGCTGATGAAATCTCACCAGTGGTTGAATCAGCAAGATGACATGAGGACTATTATGTCCTCATGAGGAGCTATTAAGATGGACAGCTACAGTGCAGTCTTATTAAACGCGGGTACCTGGCGTGTTGTCGCTTTGGTTCTGGTCAGGTTCGGGGGTCTCAGTGCACACCGCTTGTCCTCGGGTGAGCGCGTGCAGGGGTCGGGCTTCTCCAGGTTTGGGCAAGCAGCGGAGCCCCGAGCCGCAAGGCGCAGTGTAGATCCCGCACGAGTCACCTCTCTTCAACGCGCAGGCGAGGCAGCAGCCGCAGCCCGGCTCTCTAAGCACCTCCTCACAGCCGGTATCAACCGCAGGACACTCGGCCAGCCGCTCCGGGGAGCACGGGACGCAGCGGATTGGTTCCTGCCCAACCACTGGAGAAGCCCGGAGCCCCGGCGCTGAAAGGAGTGCGCTGAATGCTGCCACCCAGAAGAAGTTCAGAAGCAGTCTGTTCATCCCAAAGCAAGGCTCAGAATAAATAGATAAATAAATAAATATCGACTGAAGTGAAATGAGGAGTTCCTCGCTGTCTTTGCGCTCTCCAAAATGACTAGCTCTCTCCGGGTCGCTTCGCGGTATTTATACGCGCACTGGGTCCCGCTGACACGCTCATGTTTGACGCATTGGTAATATCAGTGATTTCTTAAATGATGCCCCCTCTGCTCCCATTGGCTGGTGGAGATCCAGTCCGAGGTGTTTCCTTGAACACAGCGCGTAAAATGCGTCACTGTTTGTGTCGGAACATAATGTGTATAATAGTGAAAACGTGTGCTTACCCCAAAGTATCATATCGGAAATAACAATAATAAGGTGTATTCTTAATAGATTCAATCCAGCAAATCGGTATTTGCAGACTAAACAGACCTACTAATCATTTTGAAACGGATTTACATTTATTTGTTTTAAAATATAGATATTTATTGGTATATATATATATATATATATATATATATATTGGGAGGACTTTCAGTGTTCAATATCCACTTGTACTTCAAAATGTGCTTCTCGTTAGAAATCCTTGAAAATGGAAAACAATACGTTTTAATTTAAAATGATTAAGCATTTTTTATTTAAATAGTATATTAAATATTATATTTTTGTCGAAATTCCTTATACATGAATGCAAATGCACTATTAGAAAACGTAACTTGTGGACTTACTGAGATAAACAAGCAGTAAAGTAATAATGATTTTGAACTCATCTGAACGGTCGCCGTGATTTTGCCAAGTAAGACATGTTCCTGACCTGGATCAACATCTTTTGTTGATCCTGGATCAACAT